GGAGTAGTAGTAGGAGTAGTAGTAGTAGTAGTATTCTCTCTTAGATATTCTTCAGAGGTTATAAATTAAATGCTTTGTTGAACCAGTTCTTTTCCGAATTTCTTCACTGCAACAATTTGTTTCAAACGCAATAGTAGATTATTCCAAATGTTTGGCAATGAACCATGCATACATCTATTACCCATCTTCGTCTTAATTCTGGAGACTACCACCAAACCACTGGAGATGGATCGCAGAGCATGTCCCATGTCCAGCTCAGATTTTATACAAAAAACCTTTTTCACCATGAATGCAACAGAGAGCAGTAGCTGCCATCTTGTAAAAAATTCTTTTGTGCACCGGCAACCAATAAAGATTCTTCAACCACCCAGTTATGTCATCACGTCTACCAAACCCAACAACCAGTCTTGCAGCAGCGTCCTAAACGCGTTGAACTCTTTACCACACCAATCCCAGCACCAAACATCAACGAGTTACAATAACCTAATCTCGACAATGCAAATGATACCACAAGACTTTATAGAACGCTGAACTGAGGTCGAGTAAAGCCAATAACACCACCCTACCATTATCCGCTTGATTGATACTGCCAAAAAACTTTTTCAGCAAAGCTGTTTCTGTAGATGACGATGGTCTGTAAGCTGACTGAAACCTAGCGACAACCAGTGGACAGGAAGATGACCAAATAGACGAACAAGCACTAATCGTTCAAAATCTTTGAAAGAAAATTGAGTTTTGAAACCTAGTTGTTCATGTAAATATTTTATAGAATTTTTGTTAAGTCGATTAAAAATTATAATTTTTTATTTAAATGGTTTAAATTTTAATTTTCAGATGGAAAATTAAATTTCTTTGAATGTTTCATTAATTCGTTTATTCAAGTATTTTGTGTAGGCATGTATGTGTCTTTCGGTATATTGTATCCAAAAATATATCAATACATATTTGTTACATTGTATCTTTGGTTGCCAAGAGTACGCTATAGCACAGTTACGTAAATAATTTGAAACGAATTATATTTTTTAATAAATCAAAAACTGAGAGTCGTTTGAAAGTCTAAAGATAAAGAAAATTGAATAAAACGCTAATAGGGAGATCAAATTTACAATTAAGGTATGGTACTGATTTATTAGTTAGAACGGGAAAAATTAAAGAACAACTGAACCGATTTTTGTGAGCTTGATTTTTTAATAACTTTTGTTTCGGAATATTTAAAAGTTAGAAAGAGGTTTTAAAAAATTTTGCTTTTTTACACATACGTAGACTATTGGCCAAGTAATTTGTTATTACTCATTATTTATTTTGTTTGACCATAGATATTTAGGATATTGAAACTTCAAACACGCAGTAAGCCTTCGCAGTTAAATAATTTCCAAACATTGATAACCACTGCTTTCTCAGTAAATATAATTGATGAAAAAAAAAACTAAAAATTTAAAAACAACTAGAAATTACTACAAGAATCAAAATAAAAAGTTAAGATGTGATCTTAATATAAAAAAGTTAAGATGTGATTTAATGGCTAAATTACGTGAATTACGATATTTATGATTGGCTCGGCAAAGTAATTAAGCGTTCTTCAATAAAAGTTAAGCCTCTGTTTATTTATTTAGGTCCCGAATAAGCGCTTGAAAACTTGATTTTTTTTAAATATTTTTTTTTATAACAAGATATGAAAATATATTATTAATATTATTATCATACAACAATTACATGCTGGAAATGTTTTAATTGATACTACAACTGCGCTTTATAAAATCGTTAATAAAATCAAAGTTTTTTCCTACTTTAGTCAGTAAAAAATAAACTAACTCTCCAAACGATTATTTTACAATGATAGATGTTTTTATAGTAATTGGAGTGCTGCTAAGTTCTTATGTGTGTAAATGTTCACGGTGAAAGCAATTAATCAATTGCATAACACGATTTGTTTACACAAATCTTTTGAACATGTATTACGTGCGAATTAGTTGGCGTTCTTTTACGTGAGACCAATACTTATAATACATACACTGGCCTGGTTTCATTCTTTATTTTCCACGAACAATTCATCAAAACTCATCGAGTTATGCAATATTCATATTTGTATGGTTAATTAAAAATATTTTATTCATTTTTAAGGATTTTATTCATTTTAATTATATTTTGATCGGTTTATTTCATCCATTTGCATAATATTTATGCGTATTTAGTATCTTTTTTCCGGTGTACGTATAGCCGAACGGATTTGAGATCGTCGTGCTTGACAGGCACCCCCTGTGTGAGACTCTCCTAAGATGTTCATTGTTCACGTGGTACCATTGAGGAATGTTCGGTTTATTAACGTTTCGTCTTTACTGTCGAATTATAAATTGGACAATCTAACACGAGTAAAAGTAGTCTAATTTATTAAATTAAACAAAACCAACAGCAGCTACCTAATGTGAGCAGAAAGAAGGAAATGGAAAGATAAAGCAAAAATGATGTAGTCATAATAATTAATTAAATTTAAACATAGATATTAAAATTAATAATAAATTTAATTAATAATTAAAAATGTTTAATGCTCAAAATTTTCAGTTAAAACAAAAAAATATTTTTTTAGTCCTCTACAATACTCCCCCGCAAGAGGCGGAGCTATTCAAATGAAAAAATAATCGTTTTTTTTGTTGAATTTGATTTTTTTACTCTTATTGAAAGATGTTGGCTGTCGACTGAAGGTAATCTTGTTTCTCGTGATGACGTTACTGTTGTTGTTGATAACTACTGTGACTGACGTTTATCTTGTTTCTTGCGATGTTGTTGTTGTTCTTGCCCCGCTTCAAACATCGCTGGAGGAGTCAAGACGAGGCTGGATCCAGTTAGCCACGGCAATCGGGTTTTGCCAGAGATTTATTACCGTGAGATGTATAGAGGGATGTTCGGGAAGCCAAACAAATGGGTAACATCGTCAGGATGTTTGTGGCATAACGGACAGTTACTATTGACTTTACTGTCTCTGTAGCTGTCAAAAGAGATGCAGTAACCTGAGCGGAGTTGGGCCAACGTTTTTTTTATTGCTCTGGGCAAACTCTCTTCTGCTTTATCTATTTTAGGAGTTTGAGGTGGCCATCCGTTGAGCAGCACAGCGACATGATATGATCAAAGGTGAGTTTTGTTGAAGCCGCCTTTAGCGTACTGCTGTTAATGTCCAAAGACCGCACCACATGTGCATGTTAGGTGTAAATGGTCTTTTTCATACCTCTGTAAAGTCGTGGCTCTCTTGAAATGGTTGGTTTGTGTTATGGCAATATATAAGAAAATATAAGAATTTTGATCATAGAAAATATAATAGCAACTGTGCTGTATTACGGAGAACATTTGGCACTCTAAAAAGAAGTGCTGCTCTGATGCTTTTCCATGGCATCCAATGATTACACGTAAAGCAGCATTCTGTGTGCGTTGGAGTTTGTTGTAGCTCGTATCAGAAGTCAGTAAAGACAAGGTGGGGCAGACATACTGTAATATCTGATCATTATGGTGACGGTTGATTAATCTAGATTATTGGATTATTGTATGATTTGGTTATTGTACTAGTTATTTCAATTTTATTGATCGTTGTCGAATATAGTTTATAATAAAGATTAATCTATAATATTGTTTTAATAAATAAAATAATAATAAATGACCCAACGCTTGAGAGAAGACTTAAAAGCGTGCGGAAAGGTCGGTCAGTACGCCCGGCAAGAAGGGCGAAACATCTCTTTCGCCCGGCCCGTATATTCCAACCCTGAGGTCGGTAGAAGATATTGTAGATCGGCGAGTCCCGGCCAAGGAGACGACCGCCCGCGTGAGGAAGGCAAAGGTGTGCGGTATTGAGCGGCCGGTGGCGTGTACGATCGCCACAGCGCTGATAACCGACACCGACCCTACCGTGTCGACGATCGACGATCGCCGTCGCAGCGAAGACAGCGGCGACGACGAGCGTGTCGACGGAAGAAGCCGCGGTAACCTTCACGGCAAGTAGCTGTTAAGACGCCTAGTCAAAATAACTGCATCCGTACCAGTGGTTTAGATGAGAAGTCATCCGCATAAGAAATGATCCTGATGTTTGGAGGTTGCATAGGAGTTTTTGAGACGTAGTTGTTGAAAAGCGAAGGCGAAAATAGTGATTCCTGGGGCACTCCAGTGCGGATGATTTGTTGTTTGGAGTGTTATTGTAACTCTAACTTAACTCTTCACTGAGATAACACACACTCACTACTTAACTCGTGTGCTTGCCTATTATATATCAGGAGACCTTGCTCCCTAGAGCTTAACTATTTGTCTAATTCTCACTAACCAGTCAGTCCCTATTGTATATCACCTCATTCTTATTATACAAAGTATTATATGCAATGATTAATTATACGTTATATTATCTTATACTAAGCTGCTATATGTCTGTAAATTTGCTGTTTTGTCGTGAACTACTATTATAACTTAACTATCATTATAATTACACACCTACTTTAACACATATCTTTGTAAAACCTATATTTATTTATACCTTCTAACTTAAATTATCATCTACATAATACTATTGACTTTTTGTTGAATGTTTGTAGAGAGTAGGTTGATGTCATTCGATGCAGGGTCCAAGAATCTGAGACTGTCCCGTTAGTTCATGAGGTCCGTAATTTCCTTTGACAACCGAAGCCGCGAGTAGACGCGTCTGCCCGAAGGAATGTTGCGATCGCTGATGGACGACAGGTCCTGACAAAACAATTTCTCAGCTGCCGCTGCTGGTGCTACATGCACAACTGCTTTACAAAATTTGGCAGCTATTTTTTTTGCATTAACTGCTCCTACCCCAACCCTGTCTGAGCAGCCCAGTGGCCTTTGTTGCGTTTCCAGGGCATTTAACAATCAGTTTATGTCTCAAAGTTGGGAGGGTATAATGTCACCCCCCGGTCAACATAATTTTGTCAGGTCTATGGCTCATAACACTAGTCAACTAAACTTCTTTCAATAGAACTGCAACAGTATCAAAAACAAACAAAATGAAGGCCAATGGTACCTCGAAACTCACCACATTCACATTGCAGCTATGCAGAAATCAAAGTTCACCACCCGGTCAAAAGAGCTGGAATTTGATGGTAATTCCCTTTACCGTTAAGACCGTGAACATGAGCTGGGCAAACTCTCTTCTGCTTTATCTATCTGGTTATGCTCATCTACAAAAACAAACCAGACTCTAACCCGATAGAAAGCCAAGCAACTCCAACGGCACTTCAAAACTCACCACATTTACATTTGGCAGAGCGTTTGGTTTTGTTTACTTGTTTATTACAAACTGGACAGATTCAGATTTTTGGTGGCCCAGGGTTGGGCTCAATGCCGGCACTTAACAGAAAACAGCGGAACAGGCTGGCCGGCCGGCCAAGGCTGCTCCTATGGCAAAAACCCGCAGAAACCGATGTTTTGTCGAGAGGGGTGTTGCAACGGTTTGTTGGGGCAACTGACGGAAGCCAGTCGTACCAATCAGTTCCAACACGTGAAGGCCGTTGCTCCTGAGTCTTCTTGCAATGTTGACGGTGTTTGTTGGTGATGACGTTTTTGCTGATGTTGTTGTTGCTGATAATGTGTTGACGCTTTGGCTGTTGATTCAAATCCTGTTCTAACATCTCATGTGAAGTTCTATCCAGCTTTGAGTGTTTTCTAGAATGAGATGGGTGTGAGGACGATGAACTATGTTCTGTGGCCAAAGTTATTCATACTGTGAAAAAATTAAATATTTTTAATATTGCAATTATAATAGACTTTTCTCAAAAATTTATTTCTCCAAGTTCCAACAGAAATAATCTTCTTTTATGTGATTTTTTTCAACAAAATCCATGCTATACAGGGATTTAAAGCACTAATGTTTAACATATTACTGAAAACTGCCATCTTCTAGTCATTCTTATAGTTGTGTACAGCCTTAACATTTGATCTGAAGTGTTAACTCCGCCTTTGGTTGAATTATAGTCTAAAATCATAATTGGCTTTTTTGTGCTGGATGTGTTGTCTAAGTCACATTGTGTATGCATACTGCTCATCAAAGTTACAACTTTTTCTGTTTTTGAACAATATGACACCAGAGTTGCATCATTATAGAAAGTAAACATAGAAGATAAAACATCCTTGTCTTTTGGGGTAATGAATTCAACTGGAAGTTCTTTTTTGGTTTTTCTTACTTCCCTATTAAAGTAAGCTTTTCTTTTTTAACATATGGATAAGAGACAAACTTGTGAAAAAGTCATCACATGTAATATTTCTACCAGAATCTTAAGTTTTTTGACAAATCTAACACAACTTTTTGAGCCTAATTTTTTTCGTTTTCTTCATTTGATTTTTTACCTAAATAAATTTGTTAACTAGTTACATAGTAAGTTTGACTATCATCCAAAACTTTAAGTAATATTTTCCAGGTTTGCTTGGACTATATTGCTTGAAAAAACAACGTCCTCTGAAAGTTAAGAGTTGTTCATCAATAGTGACATTTTCATAAGGAATATATGCATCCTCCAATGTCTTTTCCAGCATTTCAAACCACTTTCCTATGGGACTCAATTTCTCTTCACTTTTCTTTTGCCTTCGTTTTGATGCATCATCAAACCTCAAAGCACTAAAACTTCCATCTTACCACGCCTTTCACATCTGTTGTAAACTGGTTCATTCTGCCAGATTATGTTTCCATATTACGATACAAATGTTTTTCTTTTTTCATTATTAATGCTTTCATTAGAATATATATAAACATTTAAAAAAGTTATTTTAATTTGTGGTAAAAATCAACCACAATCGTCATAGGTGCTATATGCATTCAATACTCCCCTCTAGCGTTATATTTTTATTAAATTTTAGTTGTAAACCAACAGAAGACATGATTATAGAAGACAAGACATGGAAACAGAAGCCATAAAAAGACAGCCCAAGCTTTTGCGTAGTATTTTTTCATGCTTAGAAAGTAGCTCTGGGGTCAGGGGCGGATCCAGGTCATCTAGTAAGGGGGGGCGATTTTTATCCATCATGGCAACCCACAACTGCCTGCAAGGCGGGCAAGCCCACAAATAAAAAAACGTTTAAATTATTTTTCAATTTGCCCTTTAAATAACAATCTATGTGACTAAGACATTACGGCATATACGTCGCGATCGTATTAGCATCGGCAAAGACGGTGCAAGTGTGCACGCACGCGGTAGCACGCGCCCCCGTATCATGTCAGTAAACTTAAATCTACTCTGTTCTATTAAAAAGAGTGATGTAGTAATCATATTATTTACTACGGATCCCATTATTGTAGTGTTAAGTAATTCTTTAAAATATGCACTTTTTAATTTTTAATTTTATATCACTATTCACTTTTAAACAGTCTAACTTTCGTTTTTAAGCGCCATGATTGTGTATTGTGTTGTGTTACTTAAAAACGACAAAAATAGTTAATACAAGTTACTTTTAAATTAAAACATTCATTAATTATTGTTTATAATACTATAAAATATTAGGAACAATTACAACAAACCATTATCATCGGAAGAAAATGAAGAGAACAAATTTTTTACAACCACAGAGTACTTTGGATTCATTTTTTGTGACGTTGAAGAGAAAAAAGTCTGTTGAAGCATCTACAACTAATTCTACTGTCACTACTGAAGTTGGTGGAACAACTGAACTTCCACTTCCAACAACATCAGCAGAATCGTCAACAAGTAATAGTATTTCTACTGAAAATGTTGAACAAGAGATAACAGAATCAAGTAATAATATGGACAGCAACAGCCGGAATATGAATATCAATTCAGTAGTCATAGCTCATGATAGTCTTTTTTCTGAAAATGAACAGATTTCAACTGAAACTGGAACAGCTGAAATTGCTAAGGCATTTTCTAGTAAGATTTTAAATGCTGGGTTTATCAATGATATTGGAAAATTTGTTGGAACATTTATGGATGATTTGACAAAAAAGTCTGTTAGAATCGCCATGGAAGCCATCAGCTGACTACAAAATGCCACATTCACTTCGCAAGAGGAAAAATAAACAAGAAAAGCGATATCTTAATCATTCTCATCTGGAAAAATATGAATGGTTAGTTTATTCAGATAATAAAAAAGGACTGTACTGCAAATATTGCTCATTATTTTCATACCACCTGACTGCAGGATCTCACAAACAAATGGAACTTTAGAAGCTTGTTAAACAACCATTACAAGTGTTTGCTAAACTGTTTGACAAAGATGGAGATTTAACAATGCATGACAAAGCAACATACCACAAGGAAGCTGTTGAAGCAGGGAGGTGTTTTTTAAAAAAACTATAATGAACCAGCAATAAATATTGTAAACAGAGTAAATGCTCAACGGCTTCAGCAGGTTTTAGAGAATCGTCAGAGATTGATACCTTTGTGGAAACAATTATATTTTTAGGAAGGCAGAATATTCCATTCAGAGGACACAGAGATGATGGCAGTATATTAGACAAAGATGATGAAGATACTGATGTGATTTAAAATGAAGGTAATTTCCGAGAATTGCTAAAATTTAGAGTAAGCAGTGGAGATTCAAATTTAGAAAATCATTTAAAAACGGCAAGAGCATCAGCAACCTATATTAGCAAAACCACACAAAATGCGTTAATTAAATGCTGTGGGGAGGAAATATGTGAACAAATTTTGAGTCGCGTTAGGGAATCAAAGTATTATGCTATTATGATTGACGAAACAACCGATGCATCACATAAGTCGCAAATGACTATAATATTACGTTACTTGCTGCCTGATGGATCAGTTCGAGAAGATTTTGCAGGATCTGTTGATCTACATGACAACAATTATCAATCTGATATTACTGCATCAATTGACACTGAACCTATTCTTGACGGTTATAAACATGTTTGCAAACAAGTTCCACCTTTCTCTAGAAAACTGTGTTGGTGTGGGAACAGATGGTTGCAGTGTTATGTCTTCGTTACAAAAAGGAGCAGTAGTTGAAATTCAAAAGGTTGCAGTGAATGCAGTCTGCTGTCCTTGTTATAACCATGCTTTAAATTTAACTTTATCAAAAAGTTCGAATGTACAAGCAATAAGAAATTGTTTGGGTGTTATTAGTGAAGTAGTTGCTTTTTTCAATGCTTCTGCAAAACGAAATTTTATAATAAAGAACATGATAAATTCACAACTGGTTTCACTCTGCGAAACACGATGGGTTGAGAGACATGATGCATTGCTGATGTTTAGTATTGAACTTCCACAAATAATTGATGCGCTAAAGAATATATCTAAATGGAATGACAGAACAACTTCATCAAAAGCAACAACTTTATTAACAGCAATTAGAGGAAGTGATTTTATTGTGTCCTTAGGCTGTGCTGTGCATGTATTCTCTCTAACAAAGGGCCTCAGTGAATTGTTTCAAAAAAAAGTTTAAATTTACATGATGCAGAAAATTGCATTAAAGACCTGTTAAATGTTTTACAAAAAAAGAGAGAAAACTGCGAAGAAATGTTTTTGGAAATTTTTAGAGCAGCAGAAAAAATAATAATTGAAAAAGATGGCACTTTTACCTACAAAAGATTTGATCTTTCTGTTGTTTTTCATTTGTGTGACCCCGTACAATATCCAATCACTCAGAAGTTGTTCCGTATTATTAAAGCATGTCCAGTTAGTGTTGCCAGTGCTGAACGTAGCTTCTCAACTCTGCGAAGAATTAAAGCATGACTAAGAACACGAATGACAGAAGACAGATTAGTCGGATTGGCACTACTTAATGTACACAGAGACGTTTTAGTAAATGTTGAAAATGTAATTGAGCGTTTTGCGAAGTCAGGAAATCGTAAAATAGAATTTTTTTTATAAATTGTTATTAGTCAACCTATCAAGGTAGTAGGTACCTCGCTAGTCTAATAAAATAAATAAACCCATTTTTTAAAACGCTTATAGGATTAAAAAAAAGGAAAATAATTTTTTTATATTTATGTATGTACTCATATGTATATATTGACTATGTTTGATCCAAATCATTACATTTATTATTTTATGACATTAAAAGTTGAAAGTTTTTGATGAGTAATAAAGAGTCGACAAAAATAAACTAGAAATTTTTCTTTTTTTTCAGTAGGGGGGGGGGCGATCGCCCCCCCCCCCTATGGATCCGCCACTGTCTGGGGTAGATTTCTGCGTAAGAGTTATTATGAAGTGCAATTATATTATTTTATTTTTATTTAATTTAAACGAAACAAGAAAATTGTTTTAACAATTCATTTTTTTAATTAATCGAAAACTCCTGTAATAAAAAAGTATAAATTGAGAATATTTTTTTAACTTTTCAACTTTTTAAAAATTTATTGTTTCTATTAGATTGATTGATTGATTGATTTGATTGAATTAACATATTACGAATTAACATATCCCTGCCATTAAGCTATTGGAATCCATCATTCCAATACACCGCCTCTTCATTTTTTAGCCTTGATAACTGTTGAAATTTGAGTTAACATTTAGATTGAACCAACGAACGTTGCTAATGAAAACCGTTGCTATGGCATTTTAGAACGAGCTTTGTTGTTTAAACTATATGTCGGTAGGGACGAGTATTGTTAAATTTTGTTAGCAATCACTAATAATTTTTAATTACTTGCGATATAAAGTTCAAATTATAAAGGAATTTGATCAATTAAAGGTCAGTATTTTGCTTTTTGGTTGGTTCTCATTCCCATCAATTAAAAAGTAAGTAATACAAAACAAACGGGACCCACTTGCGTAATTGACTATTCTATAAAATAAAAACATACATTATTATATACACATAGGAAATATTAATATATATTTTTAATTTTTTTACTTATTTGGCGGCGCGATGTTGTAGCACTAAAGTGTCTGGCACTGCTATTGCAGTTTGCTATGACCGGATTCGATATCTAGCAAGTTTTTACATACCCATCTTACTGACGCTTTTCGGACATCCTAGATATCCCGGTGTCAGAAGGTTCTAGTTCCTCCTTGAATGTATGCGCCTCTAGCGAATATATTTGTGACTGTTTTGTCTTGAGTGTCGAGCTGTAAGCTAATTTGGGCAATCACCTTCGTCTTGTTAACTCGGGGTTGAATTGTGAGTTGTACGTTTGTTGCAGTTTGTTGCAGTGTCGGCATAGAATGGAGTCAGTCTATCCAAATGAACAATCTTCATTCTTGCCCGCGGCTTTCGATGTTTTTCAATTCGGTAGACTATGTCGTTCAATCGGGTTATGATCTGATAAGGTCCTTCCCAATTTCGTTGAAGCTTTGGAGATAGTTATTTTGTCGATGAGGGTTATACAGCCATGCCAAATCGTTAGCGTTAAATCCAGCAGTGTTTCCATTTTGATCGTAACCGGTATTTGTTGTTTCGCTATTCTTTTTTAACTTCAGGCGCGTGTATTGGTGGATGCTGTTTAACCGCTGACAGAGATTGTACTTTAGGTACTTTAATATCCTTGTCGATTATTATACGAATACATTTCACATTGCTAGTTCTTATTACTATCTCTATATTTCTCCATCTAAAGACGCGTTTTTCTAAATCAATTTTAAAACCATGTTTTGTTAGGAAATCAACGCCTATTATACATTCTTCAGTGATATCTGTTAGGAATGTACCCTCGAATACCAAATCGCCTAGTTGAACAGTATAAAAATTTCTCTGTAGATGGGTACTGTTCCTCTTGTAACTGTTCAAAAAATATATTTATAAAAATTTTCTCTTTTTAGGTTGGGTACCAGATCAGATCTTAAAATTAATCTCGTTGCTTCAGTGTCGATCATAATTGAACATTCTTGTGAACCAACTTTGCCACCCAACCAAAAGTCGTATTGACTTCGATGCCGCCCAGAGACCTTAATCACGGTACTGGGGGCGTTAATTTTACCAGCCAACTTTTTCTCGCGAAATTGGCTCCTATTAGTTTCACGTCTCCATGTTTGAGGCAGTCGGTCGTAACGCGGGGTTACCATCTAACCGTTTGTGCCATGTTGCTGCACAATGACGACAGTAATTGTTTCTAGAGGTTTGTTTACAATCACGTCGTAGATGTCCTTTTTCTCCACAATTCCAACATTTTGGCGCACCATAATCTTGACCCTTCTGTTCTAGAACCATCTTTTGACACGAACATTTTTCACAAATTTGGCGCAGCTTTACGTCAGTCTTTGATGCTTGTTTTGCTGACTCGAATGTAAGACTGTAGGCAACGGCGTCTTTGAGGCTGCGTTTGACCACTAGTATAAGGGTTTGTCTAAGATCTGAATCTCGAACAGCTTTTAAAAACTTTTCCAATGCAGTTTTTTCTCTGTGTTGTGGGTCGTACGTATCAATCAATCAATCAATCAATCAATCAATCAATCAATCAATCAATCAATCAATCAATCAATCAATCAATCAATCAATCAATCAATCAATCAATCAATCAATCAATCAATCAATCAATCAATCAATCAATCAATCAATCAATCAATCAATCAATCAATCAATCAATCAATCAATCAATCAATCAATCAATCAATCATTCAATCAATTAGCTTATAAAGCGCTATTTCCGCGATGTTCAACAGCGCTCCTCAATGAATTTTGAAAAGATCCGCTCTGAACTTCGCAAGTGATGGAGAAGTAGTCAGAGAAGTAGGTAGAGAGTTTCAGAGAAAAGGACCAGAAAAAGCAAAAGCAGATTTGGCAAAAGAGTGTTTAACACGAGTTAAGAAAAAGCGAGAAGAAGAAGACGATCGTAAACGGGGGCGTTTAGGTTCAATTAATATATCTGATAAATACTTAGGAAATAATTTAAATTGAGACTTATACATGAACGTGCAAATTTTAAAAATTATTCTATATTTTATAGGTAGCCAGTGCAAGAGAACAATATATGGAGATATATGAAAAAAGAAAGGGGCACGAGCAACTAGACGAGCAGCAGAGTTAAAAGCTTTACTTAAAGGATAGAGTATAGAGTCAGGAAGACCATAGTAGAGCGAGTTACAATGATCAATCCTAGATAAGACTAACGAAGTAACAAGAAGGAGAAGAGTAGGATCATCAAGAAAAGGCAAAAGTTTTTTTATTCTACGTAGGTGAAAGTAAGAGCTTCTAGCAACACTATTAATCTGAGAAGAGAGAGACATAGTAGAATCAAAGATAAAACCTAGACTACGAAACTTATGAGAGACATCAAGAGTTTTAGAATCAGGTAAGATAATAGGAGGAATAGTAATAGAGTGTTTAGATTTATTAAAACAAATTAATTCAAACTTAAAAGGATTAAGTTTAAGACACATAGAGTCAGACCAAGCAATAATTGAAGAAAGACATAGAGATAAATTATGAAGAACACTATTGAGATTAGATGGAGGGAAAGAAGTATAAATGTAAGAATCATCAGCATATAGTTGACTAGAGAAAGAAAAGTTATTAATAATACGAGGTAGTTCAGAAGTATAGAGTATAAATAGAAAAGGGCCAAGGATAGAACCCTGAGGTACCCCGAAAGTAAGAGTAGAGGAGTTAGAAGTAGAATTATTGAGAACAACAGAAGAAAAACGATTACAGAGAAAGAAGAAAACCAAGATAAACAAGAATCAGTAATATTACAAGTCTACGTAGAGTATGACAGCAGTGTCAACCGTTCAATATCCTGTACCAGCTGCTGTATTGACTCCTCAGGTTGCTGTGTCCGATTTCGTAACCGGGACCTATATATTTGCTTCATGTGTTCTTCACCATAGCGTAAATTTAACGCATTTACCAGGACTTCATAGTTGGAATGGTTCTCGACTGGAATCATTTAGAGAACATCTGCCGCTGACCATTGTAACGCTACCACAAGAGCTCTTGCCCATTCACTTTCATTTAAGCCATAATTCATTACTGTTGCTTCAAACTGGGCTTTATAAATGTTCCAAAAAGTTTCTCCATCGAATGCTGGCACTTTCAATGTTTTCGCGGTTACATGACATACAGGTGTGGAGTTTATTTTCTTAGTTTCTTCCAGTTTTTGTTTAAGTTTATCCACTTCGCAAGATAACTTCTGTTCGAGCCCGATAACCTTTTGATCATATTTCTGTTCAATTTTTGATGTGATGTCTTCTATTCTCATCATCTGATTTTCTATTTTTGCGTTGATTACGGCCAATTGATGTTCAGCTTTGACGTCGAACTGTTCTCTGAGTTCTTTCGACTGTTGTAATATTTTGGCATCAATCGCGGCCGACTGCTGTTCAATTTTTGCATCAATTTGATCTCTCGTTTGTTTTTATTTCTGCTGATTGTTGTTTTATTTCTACTGATTGTTGTTCAATTTTTCCATTAATTTGATCTCCCGTTTGTTCAATTTTTGTTGATTGTTTTTCAATTTTTGTTAATTGTTGTTCAATTGTCTTTGGTATCGTTTTAAGTAGTGCCATCAAATCGGTGTGTGCCCCAAATTTACAACTGCATTCGATTCGACATCCTGATCGTAAAACTCGAATTTATCTGGATTCTTGTTTTGAAGGCTGTTCAAGAAAATAGAAAATAACAACAACCACGTCATCCATCCTCTACTACCACCAATCAAAACTACAACACACAACCTTCGTCAGCGCAAACATAACTATCAAGTCGTCGCCCAATCTACATACCAGGAAAAGACTTTCACCACAAGACACCTCAAACATATTAGCACTTCTGAAAACTTTATCATTACTGAACTAGTTTTTACTTATTGATCACCTCACTTTTATCGATCACCTCACTAACTCAGTCATCATTTAGTCTATTAATAAGTCATCAAACATACTAATACTCATTAAAACTTTTTCACTCACAGGCCTAGCCTTTATTTATCGATCACCTCACTAAGTCATCATCTAGTCTATCAATTTGCCATTACTTCATTTTATATTCCATCGTCAATTACTTTTCTTTTACTTTTCTTATTATTATTATTTATTTTGTTTTATTCTAACATATTTTATTTTTCATGTTTTATCATTTCTCTTCCTCACTTTTTGTATTTATTTTCTCACTTAGTTGTTAAATTTTGTTTTACTGCCTTACATGTTGTTACAGTTTCTGCGTCTGTCAGATCCTGATTTTTAAAGAATAATAAAAAAAAATTAACAAGGGCTTATGTTAAGCGTGCTATCAATGCTCCTCTGTTAATACTTGTAGCAAGGTTTCGTTTTTGTAATTCTTCTTTGAGTTGCACCAATTTAGTCAATATAATTTTGTCATGTTGTTTTTACAAATTAACTTGTCGATGAAAAAAAAGTTGAAATTTTCAACATCGATGCTCACTTATTTTCCACCGAAGATCACACTTCTGACACTGGCCGGATCGACGACGAGTTCGCTTTATCCCAGTGAAAAAAGCGACATGAAATAACTTTCAAACTATCGTTTTATTTACAAACCGACAATCAACGTTAATCAATTATTCGATAATCAACGTTAATTAATTTTACTAATAAAATTAATGTTCACAGACTATCAAATTAACGTTCAGAAACTATCGCTTTCCGAATAACAATTCACTAACGTTTATCGTAAATACAATAAAAATACAACGCAGAGTCAAATATGAAATATCACTTTCGACACAAACAATCAATCGCTTTCTAATATCAAATATTCAACAACCATTCAATATCTCGCATGCCTTTATATACCCGTCTTACCGACGCTTCTCGATCGTCCTAGATACCTCGCTGTCAGAAGGTTCCAGTTCCTCCTCAAACTGTATGCGTTCGCAGTGACACTATCGCCTCTAGTGAATATATTTGTGACGGTTATAACAGCATTTATATCATGCTTAAAATATATAAAAATTTTGGCTTTGAACTCAAAAAACTTGACAATGATTTACGATCTACCGTTAGAAAAAAATTGAAAAATTAAACAAGAAACTAACTAACGCGGAACATACTGTATATATATATATATATATATATATATATATTTATATGTTATTAACTATTGGTTGTTTCTTATATATACTTATAACTGTGCAGTGCATTTCGTTCCGTGATTATTAATTAAATGATTTTTTATTGCACCTCTTTGTGTATGCATATCTAATCTTCTTGACAATGTAGTTGTAGTGTGTCCGATATATTATAAATTTTGGTGCCCGCACTCACCTATCAGATATTTAAAGGAATATATCAGGTGACTACTTTTCATTGTTCATTATTGACTCTTGTTTCTTACTACTGTTATTTTTAGTTGGTTTTATTATCTACTGAGATATGCAATAGGTTGTTGTTTTAATGCGGTCTACTGATGAGTCCCATAAAGGACAAAACGTGGATGAATAAAAAGTTAACTAGACATTGCATGATTTTTTTAGTGGACTTTGTGCAGATCAGCTTATTTTTTTGTTAGAGTTAGCAATTAGGCGTCGGTGCTGTGAACATTTTTTTGAAGTTTAATACGTTAAAAAACAAAAATTAAACAACTCGGTTGACACTTTGCAAACAATAGGATTAGTAACAATAGGAAGTATGGTCAAACCAGAGTTTTATAACATATAATAATAACCTTTAGTGAAATAAAAAATGGTAATTCCATTTCTTAATATTTTCTTAATACTATTTCTTAACGCTATTTTGTAAAATTCTAAAATATGTGTGCAGATAAGATTTTTGTTGAAGTTAGTGATTAGGTGTTGGGTTAGAAGTGATGTTAACTTTTTTTGCAGCCAAATTAGCAACATCTTTAAGTATAGATACAAAATTCATTAAAAACAATATTTAAACAACCGTTGAACTCGTATAACTCAATGCAAACAGTTGAATAGAAGTATGAGACATATAGGAAACAATTATGGTTTGAATAAGAAGCAAAGAGAGGAAATTAAAAAGTTGGTTGCTGAGGCAAAAAAGTTGCGAGCAGAAAGGGGGAACTCATTATCGGGTAAATACTCCAACAGACATGATAATAATAGAGGTAAAAATTCTGGTTCTGGAAATAATAAGATCAATATTTATTATTCATATGTAGATTGTATTGCCAATAAACTAAATGAATTGAAATGATGAAACAACCCAAAAGACATTATTAGTAATTACTCAGAACAAGAGTTTTCTTTAGATAAATACTTTTTTTATACTGTTAACTTCATGGGAAAAAGTCATAGAGGCATTTTTGTTATGTTAATTCTGAGTATAATACACAGGTAATTAATTTGGGATGGATTTTAAGGAATATTTATGTTTAAAATTTTATGGGAGGTTTGGACTGGATATTGTTTTTTCTGCTATATTAAAAAAATGCAAGTTTTCAATTTCTACTTATTTCAATTTTTGTTTATTTGTCAGATTTATTGAACTTGTCCTTACAGACAAGAAATATTCCAGATATATGGAAACATAGTGTTATTGCTCCCATATTCATAAAAAGGAATAAACATGAAGTCGAAAATTATAGACCGGTTGCCTTGTGTTGTATGTAATGTAAATTGTTGAAATCCATTGTTATGGATCACTTGATATGCTTTTTCGTCAAAAATAGTTTGCCTGGCTGTAGGCAGATGGATTTGTGAAAGGTAGGTTTACCAATCTTTAGCTGCTCAAACTGCTTGATGATTAGTTATGCTATTGACAATAGATTGGGTATGGATGTTATTTATACAGATTTTTCAAAAGCGTTTAACAGGGTTTTGCATAGTATGTTAATTGAAAAGTTGCTTAGATGAGGTGTGAATGACTGTTTGATCAAATGGTTTAAGGATTATTTGTGTGATAAAACATCTTGTGTAAGAGCAAATAATTGTTTGTCGAATAGGTTTAAAGTTAGCTGTGGGGTGCCTCAAGGAAGTGTGTTGAGTCCGGTTTGTTTTATTGTGTATGTGAATGATCTTTTTGGTATTGTTGAAAATGATTCTTCCAATTTGTATTTATATGAAGGCGATGCAGATTTTGTTGTTTAAAAAGTGACAATGATCGTGACGTATTACAAAAACATCTTGATAAGTTGTATGAATGGTGTCTGTTGTAGAAAATTGATTTGAATGTAAGTGTGCTGCAATGAGATATGGTCAGATGGGTTCAGATGATGGACGGGTATATAAAATTAATTGTATCAGTTTAAATGGTTGCGATGAATTAAACGATTTTTGGGGTTTTATTTCAGAGCTCTCTAAGTTTCTCTAGCCAGATACATTATGTATTTAATAATTGTTTTTGCTTGTTAGATATAATACACAGGACTTTCAAATATTTAAATAAAAATTCATTTTTACTAATTTACAAATTCTAATAAGAGTATGCAGCCATTGTTTGGTCACCATGGAAGAAGGAAAGTGAAGAGTTGGAGCGAGTACAGAAGCATGTTACTAAGATTGTGCGTGAATGCTACACCAACCGCTTGAAGTTGTTGAAACTGCCTTTTAGATATAGAAAAACAAGGGGAGATTTGTTAATGCTCTACAATATCGCCACTGGTCGTGTAGACAGAAAATCGTGTAGCCAGAAGTTGATTTTAATGTTGAATCTCGAACCAGAGGACATCGTTTCAAGATACATGTGAAAAAATATAATAACGACAACCAAAAATTCTTTTTTTACCAACAGGATCTTTTCAGTATGGAACAATTTGCCAAAAAAAATATTGAATCCGCTACTGTTGTAGAATTTAAAATTAAACTTAATAAGTTTATGGCCAATAAAGACTTAATTTTTGATTATAACATGGACACTATTGTTTGACTTTCATATACTGTTATATGGTTTATTTTTGGTTATAACATAAACACTATCGTTTGATTATATATATATATATATGTGTGTGTGTGTGTGTATGTATATATAAATATATATATAATTAATATTGATTATATATATACTGTTATAAGGTTTATTTTTTAGACACGGACATATTGACTTCTTAGTTTGAACCCATTATAAACTATTATTGCTGTTACTATTACTATGGTCAACAATTGGCTATAACCTATAGTGAATTACTAACTCCAACAAAAAAAATGAGAGCAAATAGAAATATAAAAACAATGAGAACGAAAAACAATGGAACAATAATTGTGTAATAAACAGTGTAATTTTTTCCGCACTGAAGATGATTTATTAGAACCGAAATAGCTTTTTTGGTAAAATTTTATAGAATATATATATATATATATATATATATATATATATATATGTGTGTGTGTGTGTGTGTGTATATGTCATTATCGACCGAGCCGATTATCATGAAAAACTCAATGATATTCTCAAAGATACAAAAAAGTTCCAAGTAATCAAAAAAGATCCCACTCCTCAACTAAAAACTAAACTAAACACAATAATTAAAAAAATAAAAAAACACACCACTGATGACAAACTTCCATCACTTATAGGCAAATACTCTCCCGCGAGTTTATTAATCTCCTCAGCATTAATAAACCATCCAAATTTATTGCCTCTCTGGATGTTGAATCATTATTCATAAATGTACCAATTCATGATACAATTGACATAATTATAAACACCGTTTACCACTCAGATATGGTTCTATTGAGCATACCGAAAGCACAACTGAAGTCCCTTCTTCAAATTTGCACTACCGAAGCACCATTCCACAGCCCCACAGGCAAACTTTACAAGCAAATCGATGGTGTCGCTATGGGTTCCCCCCTTGGCGTCCTATTTGCCAGTTTTTACCTAGAAAATCTGGTGAATGAGACATTCAAAAACAATGCATATTTAAATCCAAATATCTACGCTAGATACGTTGATGATGTCTTTGTCTTTTATGTCCTATAGGTTTTTACCTAGGACATCTGGAGAATGAGACATTCAAAAACAATGCAAATTTAAAACCAAATATCTACGCTAGATACGTTGTCTTCTATAACGATCCTGAACTAATCACCCAACTTCTTGGTACCTTAAACAAATCAAAACTAAGATTTACCATTGAAATTGAAAAGGAACCGCGTTTACCTTTCCTCGATGTTTTGGTCACCCGTGGCGAAGAACGATTCAAAACTGCGGTCTATGTCATAGAAACAAATACAGGAATTTGTTTGAATGGACAAAGTGAATGTACTGAACAATTTAAAGACAGCACAATAAAATCATTTGTAAACCGGGCATTCACACACTCTTCCGATATTGAAAATCGCGACGCTGAATTAAAAAGAGTCTCTATCCTACTTGTAAACAATGGATATAAGACTTATTTTATTGAAAAGATTGTTAAAGGCAAATTACTACACAGCAATAACCTTCCAAGTACCAACAATCAAGATAACGACATCATCTCTTATTACAGAAATCACATGTCAACTGCATACAAAGTAGATGAAGCTATTCTTAAACATATCATCAATAAAAATGTCACACCAACCAACCCAAATAGTAAAGTTAAACTCCGAATTTATTACAACAATAAAAAGACGTCTCACCTAATACTGAAAAACAACTGTAGTCGTAGAAATAACTCTGTGTGAAAGCGTAATCACGTAATATATAAATTTAATTGCCCCTCTGACGGCTGTGCACGTCAACATGACTCATATATCGGGATTACTACTATCTCACTGACTAGAAGGATTACGATGCATAAACAGAGTGGTGCTATCAAATCTCATTTGGACTCAATCACTCAATCACTATTAGCCGTGAAATCCTCGGCAGCAACACCAAAGTAATATACCAGAACAGCAACTACATGCATCTTAAAATTGCAGAATCAGTCCTAATTGACATCAATAAACCAAAAATAAATATACAACAAAAAATGACAACCTCACTCCCAACCCGGCGCTTAACCAACAATGAAAACAAAGAAATAATAAAAACTAGCATTGTAAATAATGACAAAGAACACGACCATGCTATCGATGAAGAAAAGGAGACCAAAGAACACGACCAGCCCTTAAAGAAACACCAAATTTCCTGACACCAAATTTCCATCAAAGTTCATTTTTAAAACGTCAATTTCCATCTAAGTTCATTTTGACCAAGTCAATATTTCCCTATATAAACAACAAGAAGCACTGATGATGATTCATTCGGAATCGAAATATGACCTTATTTGCAGCATGAATTCGAAAAATAAGTTTATTTTGAATTTTAATAAACTAAACGTCTACAAAAAAACTTTAGTGAGAAAAATCGAAAAAACAAACTACAAACATATTAACGCCAAACATTCGGTAGAATTTATAGAATATTGTAAAAATTATGGTCTATTACCAACATATGTGTATATATATATTATTGGTAAACCATCACCCGCCATAGGCCAGAAGTACGTTTCGTCTCTCACGAGACTCATCAGTAGCCTGTCGAATAAGGCTTAAGATAACACAACTCAATTATTGTAACCAAGAAACTCAAATTGAGGTGTCGCGAGCGACCAATAGGTAAGGGCAACATCTCGTTGTTAGAAGGTTTTAGAAAATTTATATACGAGAGGACTACGTTTCAAAGGGGAAGTATTGCGCGGTAGGCAATTATTTAAAATTAAAAGGTTTGACGTTTTGTAATTTTAAGATCTTTAATTTTACTTTATCGTTCGGGTTTGTTGGTTTAACATCAATATTATTATGGATTGTCTTTTTCATGATTTTTTTCATCAGTTTTGAAAGACGAATACATGAAATTTCGATAGTATAGTATAATGGTGTTATTATTATAATTATTATTATCGTTGTTGTTGCTGTTGTTGTTGTTGCTGTTAATGGCATTCTCGTTGTTGTTATTGTTTTTGTTGTTTTGGTTGTTGTTGTTAATGTCATTACCGTTGCTTTTATTGTAGTTGTTGCTTTTGATGTAATTACTGTTGCTGTTATTTTTGTTCTTGTTAATGTTATTAACGTTATTGTTATTGTCTTTGCCGTTAATGTTGTTGGTGATATTGGTGACAATATTATTGTTGTTGTTGTTATTTTGGTTTAAATGTTGTAACTTTTTATCGATGACATTTTTAATTAGATCTGCTCTGTAATTATTTGATATCTGATGAAACGTCATCTGGGGATGAGTGTGTGCTCAATTTATATTCATCAGTACATTCACGATATGGTAAAAGTATTTTGTTGAGTATTTTAGCAATTGGATATGTTACAGTTGGTACTTGGCTAATGATTGGTCGTAGAGGATTATTAGGCTTATGAGTTTTAACGTCGCCGTATAAATAACCAGGTTGGTACTCACCGGTGAGGATAGAAAATTTGTTACCGCCTAAGTATTTATGAATTTGTCAAATTATTTTATTATGTTTTCTTTCCAAAGAAAGTTTAGAGTTTGACATTGTTTTAAATTTATTTTTATCATTTAAAATTTTATCGTTTTTGTTGAAAAACAAAAACAGAAGACATATCCGCAAGGCGAATTACAATATTTTGATTATCTTTTAGTTGCTTGGCTGCGACTTTCATTTCTTTATTCATCAATATGCTAGAGAAACAGCCACGTTGTTATTTAGATTCAGCTTGTAGAAGTATAAAGATCGTGGGGTCGACTGTTATTTTTTGTTTGAATTTAAGATTGTGATTATCATTCATCAATTTTTCTACTTCAATCCGCTTGTCAATCTTACCCAGTTTATTAAGATAATGGCAGTTTATACCGAGATTTAAAACGTCTTTTTGCCTATCTATTTGCTTAAGATTACTTAAATTGATATATTTTTCGTTATTAATACTTTCATTCTTCGCTTTATAAAGAGAATTTAATTTTTGATGAATGAGTTGATTAAATTTCATCTTTTCGGTCAATAAAAGAATGTTCCCATTGTTGTTGTTGTGGTTGATGTTGTTGTTGATGTTGTTAGAACCATTATCGTCATCATCGTCATTGCTAGATTGCTGCTGGTGGACCAGATTGACGTTACTGCTGGTAATTCTTCAAGTTTTTGTGATTCGTTATTTAGCTTTTACGATTCTTAGGTGGTTGATTGTTGCATGGAATATTCGTGTTATTATCTGGAAGGTTTCTAGTTATTGGGCTGTTCTGAAAAGTTTCTAAGTGATTCTTAGCACAATAATAGATGAAAAGTTTGATGTGCCAAATGTAATTAAGCACTACAGGGGAGATCTCTAACCTATAGTGCTTAATAACATTTGCAAGAGATCGGAAAATGCCAGGTCGCTGTTGGTTAAATTGAAGTCAAAGGTTTTTAAAACTTAGTTATAGAAAGTCTAAATAATTTGAAAAACTTAGATGATGATCTGAAGGGAATAGGTATTGGCCATGACACGACAAAAGATCAAAGATTCAAGTGTAATGAATTGATAAATCCAGCGAGGGAGAAGGATGTAGCTGAAATTTTTACGTTGTATTTCTATTCACAAATGTTCCTGTCAAAGATACTATGAACATTATAACTGAAACAGTTTATAATGCTCAATATTCGCCATTAAAAATATAAAAAAATATTTAAAATTATTATTAGAAAAATGAACAACAGAAGCACCCTTCTATTAGAGCCTCGTTGCTGGTAAATGGATGGAATTGCGAATAATTCGAATAAAAAAAAGTGCAATAAATATGTTCTTTTTCGATATTAATGGAATGATTGAGAAACTTGATGACATTAAATGTTTGATAAATACGTAAATAAAAAAGTTAATTTAATATTTTCGGTGTAGGTAGTAATGGACCAAATATAACTGGAAATTTTGATAATAATGGTGATATTAAGAAGGAAGATAGTGATGTTGGTGTGAATGAGAGCAGCAATAGATTTAAAATTAATGGTAGTGGAATTGATATTTATGATAATGTTAGGAGGAAGACTGGTGATGATAGTGATGCTGGTGGGAATAAGAGTGATGATGGTAGTGTTGATAGTGGTGGAACTGATGCTATTGATTATAAATATCTGAAGAAATTACGTTTAGGTCTTTTCAACATAAGATCAAAAATTTTAAAGACTGATACTATCATGAATTAATATATAAAGATTTAGACGTTCTTGTGCTAACAGAAGCCTGGCATGGTTCATCCGATCATGTTTCAATCGAATTAGCTATGCCTCACGAATTTAAGTTTGTTTGTTTGCGATCATTTAATTTTGTGTTTTTTTTTAAATACAAAACGATACAATTGCCGAAATTATTAACATTTGAGGCAATTGCCGTTATTTCATCAGTAGGCGCGGTTAATGTTGTGTTGTTTGCCATTTATCGACCAGGATCTCAGTTGGTTTCTAAAGAATTTTGTCAGGCATTGACAAATATATTCTAGTGAAATCATTTCAGATCACGGTTTGGTTTCATTTTGTTTGCCAATACTTCGTCCACCAGTGTTAAAAGTTTAAAAAGCTGTACGTGCATGGAAGTGTTGATGAAGGTTATTTGATTAGTTTAATTAATGAATCTCCAAAAAAATGCGCTTGTATAACTATTTAACAGCGAAATAGCAAGGATTGCTAACACTGTGGCGCCTATTTATGTAGTTGAAGCATGAGTTGTTCAAACTGCATCGTGGTTTGATAGTGACTGTAGAAAAATTAAAGGTGATTGTCAAAGATTTGAACGCAAATATAGAAAAAATAAAAACACGTTTAATAAACAAAATTGGATTGGTCTAATGAATATGAAACAAGAGAATTTTGCAAAGAAAGAGAATCATACAGGAACAATTTAGTTAACACTAATGCTATTAATTCTAAACAGTTATGGCAGGTTTTAAACAAGGTTTTATGCAATTAAAAAACATTACTGTCATTGAATTTGCAGACGTTTTCAAGATAAAGATTGAAAATATTAAAAAAACAAATATAGGGCATGGCTTACCTCTTTTCAGTCATAATATTAAAAAACATCAAGTATTCTCTAATTTTGAAAAATGCTTAAGGGCTGACGTTAAAGCAGTTATTTTGAAGGCCACGCTTACCACATGTATACTAGATACCATGCCAACGAGTCTTCTCAAAAAACACATTGAACTGTTTTTGCCGTATTAGACGGATTTGATTAATATGTGTTTGGAAACTGGCATTTTTCCAATGATTTTAAAAAAGCAATTGTTATGCTTCTATTGAAGCAACCATTGGATGAAAATTGTCTTTGGCCGTGCCTTCAATCACTCAACAGAAGCAGCACTGCTAAAATTGTTGTCAACATTATTTAATGCATCAGATTTGAAGCAAGTGACATTACTGGCTTCAATTGATATGAATGAACGCAGCATTTGATTGTCAACAAGCTACGAAATTTCAGGCACTGTGTTAACATTTTTTAACTTGTACTCAAATAGCAGATCACAACGGATTTTTTTGACAACGAATTGGATGAAGAAAAAATGTTATCTGGCGTCCCTCAGGGATCGGTTTTGGGACCACTTCTCTCCTTGTTGTATGCTGCTGATGTATTTGAATCATGGAATGTTATGAAATGTTATGCTTATGCAGATGATATTCAGTTAGTGTCAAGTGCTTCAGTTAAAAAGTTTGATGATTTAGCGTAATTGCAATAAATATTTGGATGTCAAAAAATGGTATAAAATTGAACAAAGATAAAATCAAGTTGGTGCAACACGGCACATATATTAATACACTCGAACTAACTCATTCAATAGCAAGACGTATAGATGCATCTAGATGCATTAAAGATAGATGATGCCATTGTCAAATTCGAAAAATCAGCTACCCTACTGGGTTTATAATTGACACTAACCTGACCATGCAGAATCATATGCGGTGTATGGTAGTCATGTTGTTTCCATTTATGTCAGCTACGGCTGATTAAGAAATTTGTTAGCAAGCCCGCTTTGGTGGCGTTGGTCCATTCATTTGTCCATTCACGTTTGGATTACTGCGATACTGCGACAGCCAATTGTATGGTGTTTTAGCAAATGAAATTGCACTGTTGCAATCTGTACAGAATAGGGCAGGTAAAGTGGTGATGGGTGGTCAGAAGTTTGATCACATGACTCCATTTATTAAGGAGTCACTGGTTGGTGATTGAAAAGAGAATTGTTTTTAAAATTTGATTATTGATGTTCAAGTGTTTAAATAGTTCAGCACCACGATATCTGATGGAGATGTTTACATCCAAGGACATGAGTGCTCAGAGTTTTGTCTTGAGATCGAACGATCAGAATTACTTAACAAATTGGGTGTCAAAATTGAAGATTTGGTCTCGTAACTTTGCTGTGGTATGAAAATATGGAACTATCTTTCACGCGTCATTCGTAGACAAACGATGTCACTCCTGTAATTTAAGAAGGAATTAAAAACATACCTGTTTTGAAGATTGATTGAAATTGTGAATAGTGTCTTGCATGTTGTTTTATTGTTCATGTATGTTGCTTGAAGATGAAGGAACATTTATATTTATGCTGTATTTATTTTTATTTATGTTTTATCTATATATATGAGTTGTCGTGTGCGTAATAAGTGTGAGTGTTATGTTATGTCTAATCACAATTAGATTTGCTTGTGTTGAATGTGTTTTGAATTTTATGAGTTGAATGTAAAAGCAAGGGTTTGATTGATAGCAAGGGTATAAGGATGTGTGTGAATGGAAGTGAAATAAGTATGTTTAAGTGTGTGTATATATCGGTGTATGTGTGTATCGTGTGTGTCTGACAATTTGTATTGATTTATTAATATTATGTTGGTGCATGGCTATTTGTCTGTTGGTTATTTTGAATTATATGTAAGTAACAAGTAACTTCTATACGTATTTGTGTATGATTAGCGTGTAATGTGTGTATGAACGTTTCTATGGGATGGTTTGAAAAAGAGTGATTGGTGGTACATAATTGTTGTTACGTGGTTATTACATGATTTTTGATATGTATTTTACTCATTTTACATATTTTACATGGCCGAGTGGTTAGCGTGTCCGTGTACCACTCCCACGGTCCGGGTTCGAATTCTGTAGTTTCTTCAGGTTTATCCGGGTAGCCGAACACGGCCAGCCCAGCCGTCCATCCTTTCAGGGCTGGTAAATGGGTAGACGACGTAAGTTGTCGCATGCTGGCCGGCGAGATGGCTCAGTGGTTCAAATGCTCGCTGAGTCAAACATCTCAATGGCTATCATATACTCAGCGTATTTGATGCGGTGCTTGCGCGTGCCCATAAATACATGTATACGTCGTGTGAAAAGGATAAACAGCCTTTGTGGCAAAGATGGCTGCTTCAAATCAATGATTGAAGATATGAAGAACATAATAAAAAGATATATAGACAATATATTTGCAACACTGTAAGTGGTATGTCAGATCTGCAATAATAAAAAAAATGATGCAATAAAAAATCATCTAATGGATGATATAACAAGGAAAATGTTGAACTCAAATACCAAAGAGTTAGTTATATTACAACCATAATATAAGTAATTTGAGAATTGCAGAGGCTTGATTAATAGAGAATAGAAACTCTGTAATAAACATCCAACAACAGGCGGTAACGATCCTACCAACAAATAAATTACAAAAGCGAGGTTTTCGCTTAAGCAAATTTTGTTAAAAATTGTTGCCCATTTAGCATTTTATTTTATTTTAGTATTTAATTTTTATTTTCTTTATAACACTATATATTTTATTACCGTTGAATTCTCAATTTCAAGGTTTATCTTTTATTCCATTTTGTTTCAATTTGACATTACATTTAACGCATTGATTTTATACAAATACATTTTAATATGCTTTGTTCAAGTTCAATTACCCAAGGCTCCGACGATGGCATCTTTGCCGAAACAGCTGTCAGCCTAGCTATGACACAATGATTGAATAAATAATATTATGAAAAATTGCGTTCTGTTGAATCGATTATAAAAAAGTTAATAAATGCTAAATAGGCAACAATTTTTAACGAATATATATATATATATATATATATATATATATATATATATATATATTGGTAACAGACTGTTGTTAACGCAACATTTCAAAAAATCAACACTACTTTCAACATTGTTCAACTTTTTTATATTTCTTTTTTTTTATTAATTTCAGAGAAATTAGACATTTTATTGTTTTTTAAATTTTTATTAAATAAATTTGCAAATAGCTATTTCGAGTTATAGATAACTCATCTTCAGTGCATTATATATAAGATATGTAAAATATTTGATAAGAAGGAACAAGTAATTATTAATTTATATAAATTATTTAATTAAAACAGAAAACCAATAAAATAAATTTAATAACTATAAACAATATAAAACGCGATTTTTAAAATTTTTAACGGCAAGATTGTTTATATTATGGTTGTTAAGGTAAATATCAACGCTCAGCCGAGAAGCGCGAATTAATTTATTTAATTAACTACATATTATTAATATTATTTTGACAATATTTAAAAACGTTATTATTATTATTATTGTTAACGTTATTATTATTATCGCTGTGGTTCTTCTTGCTTCTAGTGATAATGTTCCATTTGCAAGTGATATTTGCGCTGTGGGTTGTGGCGTTGGTATCTACAGTGTTGGCACTGTTGTTGTTGTTATTGTTGATGCTTTTGTTGTTGTTGTTGATGTTGTTGTTGGTGTTGTTGATGTTGTTGTTAGGGTTGTCACTATTGATGATGTTCCAATTGCAACAGATATTGGCGCTGTGGGTTGTAGCATTGGTATCTACAGTGTTGGCACTGTTGTTGTTATTGTTGATGTTGTTGTTGATGTTGTTGTTGGTGTTGTTGATGTTGTTGTTAAGGTTGTCACTATTGGTATGATTGTTGTTTACATCATCAATATTGTTGGTGATAACATTGTTATAATTATTGCTGTTGTCGTAATTGTTGTTGTTATAATTATAATGATTGTTGTTTTTATTTAGTAGTCTATTTGAAAGTAGAATGTTGTTAGACTGTACTTGAATGTTCATGGAGGGATTTTTGTTTTGTATGAAAATTGATTCAGCGATTTTCAGGTTTGTGATGTTGTTATTACAATAAACTATTTGCGTGTTATTTAACAGTTGTCGTGTTAAAGTGATGTTATGCTGTTGTTGATAATTGCTTGTTTAATTGTTCCATCTTGTAAATGCATGGTCAAACGTCTTGACAATGTGGTAGTTGTCATTCCAATATATGAAGCATTGTTGCGGTATATAATGCACTGAAGATGAGTTATCTATAACTCGAAATAGCTATTTGCAAATTTATTTAATAAAAAAAATCAATAAAATGTCTAATTTCTCTGAAATTAATAAAATAAAAAGAAATATAAAAAAGTTGAACAATGTTGAAAGTAGTGTTGAATTTTTGAAATGTTGCGTTAACAACAGTCTGTTACCAATATATATATATATATATATATATATATATATATATATATATATATATATATATATATATATATATATATATATATATATATATATATATATATATATATATATATATATATATATATATATATATATATATATATATATAT